TTACATGAATCTTAATTTTGTTGTAAACAAGTCTTTAGAGAGGAACTGCGGCAGGTAACAGTGAGTCCACTCTGTTTTATTCTCTTTTTAAATATGAGACGCTGACGTGGTAGGCTATGATTTTTGAAGTGAGAGATTATCTGCGTATTGTCTGCGCTTTGGAGAGAGGAGACCGAGGGGCAGAAGAAGAATATTTATGAATAGTTGGCTGCTGTGACAGAAATCATTAAATTGCAAAGTAGATTCTTCAGTGCAAGACAGAAGATTTGAGAGCAGCAGAACGAATACGATACAAACCTATCTGTCTTCTGAAAAGTTCGGCAGTAACTGATTGCCATCAGAGAAAGCATTCTTCAGCACATTCATCTTGGAAATGTCCATATATGAGAATAGGATGAGATCATATGAATATAGGTTTGCACAAAATCCAGCTGTTGAGATGTTCCCAAGACACCAGAAGCCAAAAAAAGCATACCAGCGAACAGGGATGTGAATTTTTTGCCAGCAGGCAGTCTGGTGAAAGGGAGAGCAAACATAAGGATGAAGCCTATTTTGGGAGCGGGGTTTTTTTTTGTACGGTCTTTCTGTATGTCTGTCTTGGACTAGTCAAATGCTTGGCAAAAGCAATAAATAAGTGCACAGTGATCCCACTGAGTGCACAGGGAGAAGGAACAGAATAGACAAAGGGCATGTGTCGGCAGAGGACATATGTGCCGTGTGAAAAAGATCATATTGTTATGGGGCGTGAAATCCTGCAGCGTGGGCTGACAGACGATATAGCTGAGCATGAACTTGGCAAAAATTGGAGTGCACTGCACTGCAGTCCCTTGGGACTTTTAAGTGAGACGGAGGGGAGCGGAGATTGCTTCAGGGAACAAAAATATGGTAGCAAACCCATCCTTGTAGGGAGAGGAAAGCGCCTTACGCTGACGAGAAGGGAATGAAAGAGCATAATCTCTATCCTGGATTTAACACTGGTGGATGACGAAATCAGTGCAAGGTTCGTGTGTCCTGCCTACCTGCCCCTGGGAGAAGGTTTGTGTCCGTTAGGGACTGGGGAGATTCCTTGGGCTCTCGTCACAAGCTTGACGTCTTGAGCAAGCTGCTCATGACCAGAGGTTCTTGCTACTTGGAGGCTGTCGAACACCTTATGTAAAATGAGGCTGGGTTTGTGATCCTTTTAGAAGAGGTCAATTGTTTTCACTCTCTTAATGTACTCAGTTTCTGGCTGCTGGGTTGAAACAGTAGTTGGATAGCTGCGGAAGCGGGATTTTGTTACCCGGAGAGGCTGATTTCCACAGAGCAGGTATGCAGCTCGTGGACTGCTGCTGAGGGAAGCCGAAGCTCACTCTGCAGCCAGTGCATCTGTTCGGTGAACAGATGAAAGGCCTCTTGCAGTGGTGATTTCACCAGAACGAAGTCAGCATCGCCATTTAAAGCTTTTGATAGTAGTGAACTCTTAGCACCGCCTCCCCGGCAGTCTCCGGTGAGCCTCCATCTCTCTGTTGTTCATGGGGCAGCCTCAGGTGGTGTTACAGGTCTTGTGGGCTGCAGCCTTCAACGTGTGAATGCCTTCAGGTTCTGTACCGGTGCAATCCCCTCTCCAGTCTGTTAGATATCAACTTGTACTAGTGTTTATCGTCTTGATTTGTAAGGGACGTCAAAACCCGTGAAATTCTCCTGCTATTGCCGGAAAGGCATAATCTTTGACGCTGCTAAAAAAATAAAATACATCACGTGGTTGATGGTTTGAGGTACTGTCAAGATCAGCTCTGCCTCTAATTGTACCCCCCCTGGAGAAGTTAACAAACGTATGCGTCATGGAGCAGACAGCTCCGATCCAGCCTTCTATCAAAACAATACGTTTGGTACTACGCCTAAAGCCGACAGTGAGTCAGCTACAGGAATTGACTCTCTTGTGTCACCTTGGTGCCAACACACTAGGCTGGATTCTGTTTGCCAGCATTAGGTAAGCACCCGATGGCTTCAGGCTGTTTTGCATCTGTGGCTTCAGCTTCCTGAGCAATCATCTGCGAGGAAACTGAATCAGAAAGCTGAAGGAATAGCTGGGTCACATGGAAGATCAGCGAATGATGTCGTTTGTTTTGTATTTTTAACCGGTTGTTAGATCCTTTCATTTGACAGATTTCATGCACTTTATGAAGCCTGGCCGTGCCTCAGAAACCCCTGTGAAATATGGTAAGTTGTGTGCCTACCCATTTTAGAGAAAGGAAACCTTTGTCCTAACAAAGCTGGGTTAACTGTATTCCCAGCTAAATTAGTGACTCGGGAATAGACTCTTGACTCCCAGTCTTGTACTGCACACATGGTGATCTGATAACATGTGCTATATTTTCTATTACAGAAGGCTGCGTCCCTTTGCTGTTGTAATTTTACGTCCACCCATTTGAGTCACATAAAAATGTGAAATAGATCTGTGAGTCCACGGCAGATAGTATTCTAGAAAATAATACTCACGGGGGAAGTACTTGGTTATTCCCAAATTAGAATTACTCGGCTAGTGTCTTTAGCAGATCAATATTGCAAACCACACCAATTAAATGAGATAATTACTTGAAACTGGTGCAACAGTTTCCTTCTGTGAAGGAGCAGCTAATATCTGAGAAGCTATTCATCTGTTGAATAGCACCTTGCTGAACACGAGTCATGACAAACAACAGTAAAGCAGAGGTCTGTGTTACTTAACATTTGTGCACCTTTCCCCATTAGGCAATGCATCAGCCGTGTATATGAAGCGTTGGAATACAGGTAATACTTACCACATGAGGGACTTGTGAAGTGGCGATATCTAATGAAACAGGGAAACAGCTGGACATAAATTCCATTTTCGATTACTAGTCAGCCTATTCTCCTTCCCTCTTAATTACCGCAAGGTCACGGACAGATGCAAGGGAAAGAATGACTTGCCAGAGAGAGAAGCCAAGCTAATCACTCCGCTGCCATTCCTCTGAAAATTTACAGTACATGTATTATTTTACAGCCAACGTAGTAAAAATCCCAGGTTAGGACTCCGTTCAAAATACATGTGTCGGAGGAAATACAATACTGCAGCAGGATGGTAGCAGCTCCTTTGTTATTACAGAACCCTCACATCTTTAGCTGCAGTTTTTCTTCAAGCCACGCTTCCAACACATGCTTCTAGGCAGAGACCGAACAAGAACGCGTATGAATTTTCTCATCCTGCTGTCTGCGTAGTTAATCACATGGTGGATCCTGTCCAACAAGATTCCCCACCAGTACAGCTAGCTATTACTGTATGGTACTGGCTTCTCACCTCTTTAATTCCAGCTGCAAAACTGCATTAAAAGACAACTTAAATACTTTCATAACGCCGCTGTTTAATGGGGGAATTTGTGGTAGTTGCCATAGGGAAATTGTGTAATCGTGAATGGGAAGAGAAGCGCCCATGAAAAAATTCCTGTTAAAAGTTGATCCGAGGCATGAAAAACCTTCTGAGAGTATGAACAAATGAACAGATTAACAAGATTAGCGTGCACCACAAGCTCTGGAGGCAGGGCATCAATTCAGATTGTTAGAAAACAGATGTGGACTCTGGATTCTTGTCCTCCACCCCTTATTTTGAATTTTTTTCTAATGAGATCCTTGAAGCGTGATCAGTTCCATGTGTGTTTAGGGGGAGGCTGATGGCGGTTACACTTGCTATTAGTTTGCTGCATCTGCATGGATATTCTAGTTAGT